CCCCCCCCCCCCCCCCCCCCCGTCTCTTTCATGTTCGTACTCGCTTTAGTTTGCCTCTCCGTTCGCCTACGTTGTCTTTGACTGGACTTGCTGTTCATCCCCTTTCCACCCACTTGCTGTTTTTCTGCCCTTGTCTTCGTATTAGGCGCAGCGCCTCCCCAGGAGCAAAGCGAAACGCCACAAATCCCCGCTGATAGCCAGCAAGAGGAGGGGGAGGAAGAGGAAGAAGAAGAAGAGGAGGAGCCCACGCCTGTCGCTGAAAAAGACGCCCCCATACCCCCTGCCTCAGAAGAAGGTAATGGAGATTCAGGACAAGCAGATGTGGAGGAAGAGGAGGAGGAGGAGGAGGAGCCACTGAAAGTGACAGAAAATGAGAATGTGAAGGAAGAGGAGGAGGAGACGGAGGAAAAGGTAGAGGAAGAACAGGCGGAGGAGAAACGGGAGGAGGATGGAGACATCGGAACAGAGGCACAAAAGACTGAGAGCAAAGCCGAGGAGGAGGAGGCAGCTGTGGAAGAGGAGGAGTCAAAGGAGCAGGAGGGGGAGGAGTACGAGGAGATATATGACGACGAAGAAGACGACGACGATACGACGACGACGACGGCGGACCTCTTCACGGACAGCACCTCTCCGGTTAAACCGCAGATCACTAAAACCAACTCAGCTAAAACTAACGGGCACGTCCTGCTGGTCTCCGAGTCGCTGAGACAAAACCCCGGCACGCCGCCCACCCCCTCGCCCACACCCGAGCCCGTCCTCTGCCCCCTGGTGGAGTCCGAGCTCAGCTACACGGACCGGGACATCTCGCTCAGCTCCGGGTACGAGATGTACAACGGCGAAGTGGCCGAGCCGGCGCTGACCAACGGCTCCAGCGAGCAGCACCGCGCCGCCGTGCCCCTATTCCCCGACCTGCCTCTGGACCCCGAGCCCGGAAACCCGGTGCCCGTGGGGACGGTGGACATTGGGACAGAACCCGCAACAAATAGCCCCACTGCGGACCGCAGTCGCACCGTTTCATCGTCGAGCACAGGAGACACGCCGAAAGGTAGAAGGCATTGGCACAAAGCATGTTTTATTTCCCTTCTGCTTTGCTCTTGCACTAATTTATAACGTTTTATCACATGAAATACCAGCAACATGTCTTAAAGTCTGCGGTAGTGACTTGACAAGCACATGCAGGGTTTGTGAATTCAATTTAAAAGCTGCAAAATTTGTAAGATATTGTGATGGTTATTTTTACCTACAGGGAACCATATTATAGTGCTGAGACCACATTATAACAACATACCAAAAATATATACAGATAATAGATCAGTTATTCTATAAAGTTCCAAAAGACATCTAATAGTCATGAGTATATAGTGTGAAAGCTTTGAAGGATCCAAGCGGAGTTTTTATTATTACCTTGTTGGAAGGTGTCAGCTCCTCTCATCTGTAATGATCTCCTTCCCAGATTTCATCAACACTTCACTGAATAATGTCTACAGAGACAGAACATTCAAATCTGCAAACTAATGTGAGATAACTGCACGAACAAACAAACTCTGTTTTAGAGACTGATTCAAAGTTTTCCACCAAAACTCGTCCCTCTCTCCTTGTACATAGTGACTCAGCACCAGTTACTCATCCACCTACATTTGACATTTTACTATCATTACCTTGAACTGTTGCTGAAGCAGCTGCTTGATGTGAGGTTACGTGTCTGTCGGTGTGTAAGCTCTTTTTGTCTGCAGCAGTTGTCCCACAGTTAGTGAAGAGGTCTGAACTCTATTGATTAGCTACGTTACTGTCGTTCAAAAATACGTTAAGATTAGGGTCGTTTTCACTTGACCGTCAGCTAAAAGTACATCCAACTTAACCTCCTTTAGGTACCTTCTTTCACCTTTTCCTCTACTTCGGACTGTCGTCTTTACAGTTTACTTCACTCCTGAGAGTAGCGCAGCGCACAGTAGCCATCTTCACAGTCAGACGACCAACTGTTGTGGGTTTTTTTTTTAAAATAAAGTCAATTTTAATGTTTCATGATGCTTTAATTTGTTTCAGACTGACTATGGTTTGTATAAATGCTTAACTGTAGGCTTTAACATGCATTAAAGAAAAAAAAACATTTATTTTGAAGGTGTGGCAGCTTTTATTTTGAGCAGTTACATGTAGAGGAAACCCTGCATTGTGGAGAAGAGCTGGGATTTTCCCCCCCTGCCTTATTCATCACAGATACTGTTAATTTTTGCTGATTTAGGTATTTTATTTTTTCCTTTGGGCCATTTTGCGACTATAATGATTAACAAACATCTTACCGTTTCCTTGATAATCTTAACAAATAGTTTTTTTAAACAATTAATTTACATTAATTTTATATGATTTACTAAGAGTGAAAACAGCAATTATTTTTTTTACGTCCCGTTGAATAAATATACAAAATTTAAAGAATGGATTTTTCTTTTTCTTTTGTTTTTTTCTTTTTTTTTTCTGAAATTTTCTCATGCATCTGCAAGACGAGATGCATTGATTGGTGTTTCAGTGAATGTGGTGAACGTTGTGTGCTAACTGTGACGCTCTGTCCACACCCAGTCAGGGCCAGAGCTGCAGACCTCCTGATCAACCCGCTTGACCCCCGCAACGCCGACTCCATCAGAGTCAAAATCGCTGACCTGGGAAACGCCTGCTGGGTGGTGAGAGGAAACCTGGACTTTTAATGGGAACATTTGCATAGACATGTTTGTTTTTCTGTAGACGTTTTAATATTTTTAATAAATGAAAATGGAAAACATTCCAGCGTTTGGCGTTGAATATCAAGATCAGATACTTTTAAAATATATATATATATATATATCATAAGTAAGTGTAGCATTGCTTATGATGGGAGATAATTTGGTTTTGTTTTTTATTGTAGGATAAATTTGTAATATTCCCGTTTAAATTTCAAATGTTTTGCTCACAAGCGATGCAGGATTTTAGAAATACAAATCTGAAAACTGTGGGGCACCTTTGTAGTTTCCCCCTTTTGCTGGGGAAATGGTAACTGCTAGCGCTACAATGTAATTAAATCAAAGCACACTTGAAATTAAAGTGGTCCAATCAAAGTACATTCCCTAAATTCAGTTGAAAGTTTGTGGCAAGACGATGGAAATTGATCATCTCCGTTCAGTCGGACAAAAACCGGCTAAAATTTCCGTCTCTAGTCTGCAAAGCTGATGGAGACCCTGGGTTGCTGAAAAGAAATGCACACCGCACTTTTCAGATTTGCATTTGTGAAACGAAATGAAAAGTCACATACACTTTTCCTTCCCAAAACATAACATGAATGTCATTATTAATATTGATAATAAGAATTTAAAATGCTATATCTGGTAATATTGTTATACTTATTCTCGGCCGCTGCTATGTTTATTACTGTCGATAATTAGTAATAAATGCATAACAGTGCTCTATTTTGTGCTGGTTTATCATAAAATCACAATCACTTTGACACAATCTAAAAAAATGTAAGAGGAGTTATGAGTTTTACAAGGCATTTAACATTTAAGGTGGAATTGGACCAAATTACTCCCTTTAGAAACTTAGCTTCCACATATTGGTAACCTATGCAGAATAAACCAGGAACGAATGAACATCTCCAATACAGACGAAGAGGATCAGGAACGCGACAGCCGTCAGACGGCGTTCCAGTCGTACTGTTTGCCGTCAGTCTGGCCTCTTTTTTTTTTTTATTTTTTCAGCCAGCAGAAATCATTAAATCCAGGCTGCTGAGCTGAACGCGCTGGCAGGAGCTGCGATCCAGCAGCTATAAACACAGCAGCGGCCGAGAAATCTTTGGTCTTACATAAGCCGACATGCAGGAATAAAAGCAGAAGTGCAGAAAGCGGTTGATGAGAAAACAGAAATGGTGTCTCACGCTCGATGAATAATAAAAATAAAAAAAGCAATGCTCCAGTAGGGGGAGAGTTTTTGCCGATTTCTTGTCGATTCAGAAACACCAACGTGATTCTTCTCCCGTTTTTTTTTGTTGTTTTTTTTCCTCTCCTGAACAGCACAAGCACTTCACAGAAGACATCCAGACGAGACAGTACCGCTCCATCGAGGTCTTGATAGGAGGCGGATACGGCACGCCGGCGGACATCTGGAGCACTGCCTGCATGGTGAACAGAACCGAGTCCAAAACGCAGACGACACGTCGTCCATCCCTTCTATTATTATTATTATTATTATTATCATTATCATTATTATTATATTGTTTTCTGTCAGGCGTTTGAGCTGGCCACAGGAGATTATCTGTTTGAGCCTCACTCTGGAGAGGACTACTCCCGGGACGAGGGTGAGTATTTCAGTAAAACATTGTATGAGTTGGTTTTATTTTATGTGTTCCAGATTATTGAAATCTGTCCTGGATATTTAGTGAATGTTTTATTACGTTTGGATCGTTCTTTATTCAGGCTGGGATTAAATCACAACAAACAACATCAGAGATTGTCAAATACTGTAATGGGACGCTTAGAAGTTTGATTTTTTTAATTATTTTTTATTTTTATTGTGGTTAAAATTATACCTGCACACTCAAATAGATGCATTCGCTCAGCTAAGATTTGATTATGTGTTCCTTAGCAAGTTGAACATCAACCAAACACTTCTTCTAGCCATCGACAAGCTCCTGGTCGTTACATCTGATCGTTTTTACTCGCTTCCAGCTTGTTAAGCGATTGAGACCATCTCAAAATTTAATAATTTAATAATTTTATCTGCAAATTTACAGCCTCAAGAGCCATTTCTGCCCACAGGCCAGCCAAATAAAACTCATTTAGAGCCACAAATGTCACATGACTTTCCTTCTTCTTTTTTCTTATAAACAGCTTTATAATTTTCAATAAGCATCTATTCTCAGAATTTTTTATTTTTTAAGAACCAATATCTTATCTCTGATTTTCCTGACTTACAAAACAAAACATAAAACAGAAAATTTAGCAATGAAGAGGATGGATCTTTTTTTTCTGATGGATCTTTTTTCTGTTATATTTGCTGGTGGCTGTAAAACGTGTGTGAACAGGAGTGACTAATATTCACCTAGCTAAATATTAGGGTGGGGAAGGGTTTATGCGTAAGCTTGCTAGGTTGTAGTTTTGGAAAATAAATTCACTGAAGTTGTTTGTTGCGCACACCCTGAAAAAAGAACGTTCTAACGCACCTTTAAAGAATCTGTCAGCTCTTCACCAGTACTGAACGTCCACATCATCAGCAAAGTGTCTTACACATATGATGTCTCTCCATTGTTCGAATGAGAGCTTAAACTCTCCGAGTTAATTAACTTCAACAGTTTTTCTACGTGGACATTAAGATGTCTTGTCTCTTTTGCAAAAAGATTATTCCGAGCAATGGAGATCATTTTAGCAATGTGTTTTGTAAATGGATAAACTGATGAAGTAAGCTTAGTTTAGGAATCCCTTTCCCCAAATCCTCCTGTCCACTGTCGACTTTAAACCCTCACCTTGAGCTCTGCCGCTGTGCCTCCGTCTTCATCTCACTGCTCGCCACAACTCACGTCTCTCACACCAACAGAGCGCACCACGCCACTGGCGTCATTTAGTTCCTAGCAACAGGGTTCATGCGGGTGCTTGAAATCCTTGGAAATGCTTGAATTTCACTCAAGTGTTTTCAAGGTTTGGGAAGTGCTTCATTTCTGTGCAAACTCCTTAAAATTCAGGCTGCAGGGGTTTGTAATAGTCTGAGGCTTGATTGGAAGCGTTTTTTGCATTGAAACCAGATATTTTGCTACAGCTAATAACTTTTTTTCCTCACTGTCTGAAGTTAAATTAGACTAACCCTTAAGTTGTTTAGCTCGGTTAGAATTACTAAAATTATTAGTGTTTTAATGAATGCCAGAAAACTTTTAGAAATTTTTTTTTTTACTTTGTATATTGTGTTAAAGCATTTAATTTGGTCATTTAAGTTAACACAATTTGTTTGAATTACTTCAACATAAGTAATCCAAACTGAAACGCTCTAAATCGGTCGTTTTCAGTAAATAGATGACGTGGAAATAATGGTTATTATTTCGAGTGGCTCTGTGACTTATTTGCATAATTGAAAAAAGATTGTTGGCTTAAGTTTTTTTTGTTTTTTTTTGCATTAACATTATTGAAATTGGGGAACTTTTTGATAGATGAGCGTTTTGTTCTCGGACCAGTCAGGTGTGTAAGAGAGAGACATTTAAAAACATAACATTGAGCTTTATTTTAGTTAATCCTCTTCTGCTGTTTAATGTAAGGTACTATCACAAGATACCAGTTAGAGTAATAAATGACACCATAAACTAGAGAACTGAAATTGTCCTGTTTTAGTTAATTTGTATTGTTTTTACCTCGAAAGTGTTGTGCTGAAAAGTTTAAAATTGTACCTGTACAATGCTTGAAAAGTTGTTGAATTTTACGGCGGGAGAAACGTACGAACCCTGCAGCAAAAAGATAGCAGGTTGTAATGTACGCCTCAGAGCCTCATTAGTTTTTCGTTCCTGTGTTTCTATCTGCATGCAGACTCTCTCTCCTGTAGAGCTCAAACATTTTTCCTCATCCTTCATCTCTTCATCTCGTCCAGCTCTCTGATTTCGCTCATCTTGTTGTTTTTCTCCTCGCTCGGTTGGCTGCTTTCTACTCAGGGTTTTTTTTTTTTTTTAAGACGCCAGGATCCGAGGTCTTTGTTGGTTTTATCCCGATTTCCACAGAAGCAACTTTTGTTCCCCCTCCACTGAGCCCACGTTATTTCAGAATCGTTATTTCGATTTTATTCGTCTCATTTCCTCACCACCTCACCACCTGTGGTGCCGCAGCTTATTAACGTGTTTGTCCTTCTTCATAATCTCTGATTGTCGTTTTTTGTTTCCTTCTTCCTCCTCCCTCTCTTTGTGTCCCTCCCTGATTTTTTTTTTCTTTCTCACCCTTACTCTCTTGTTTTATTGATTCCGTTTCTCCCTTTACTTTTTGTCTTTCACTCAACTTTTTCTATTTGCTTTTCCCCTTTCTTCTTCTCCTCCTCTCCCCTCCCCAAAAGACCACATAGCCCACATCATAGAGCTGCTGGGCTGCATTCCCAGGCACTTTGCGCTCTCTGGAAAGTATTCCCGGGAGTTCTTCAACAGAAGAGGTAGCGATGGCCTGAGAGCTGGGTGGCGCCGAGACACACGGATGTCAAAGAGGGACAGAAAACGGACACAAGTAGACCGTTTCAGTTTGCCACCAATTGGGCGTATCGATTCAAAACGATCAGTATTCGGCCTCCAAACGTGTCCCTCGGGGCGGCAGTGTGTGTCGGCAGCCGTGCAGCCGACGGCATGTGTGTGTTGACGTGTGTGTGCATGCTGTCACGCTGAACCGTGCCTGTTCCCTTTTGTGACGTATGTGATGGTGGGGGCAGACCACATCGCTCTGATCACGGAGCTCCTCGGGAAGGTCCCGCGCAAAGTGGTAGCTGCTGGGAAGTTCAGCCGAGAGTTTTTCTCCAAGAAAGGTAAACTGAACCGTGGGTGGAGGCCTCATCCTGGGTGGTGGCAGGAAGTGAATGTGGGGGGTCAGAAGCCGGACGAGCTTTTGTTTTTTCATAGGAACTCTCAGGCAGAGTACTGGTAAGTATGAAGTCACGGCAGGTTTCCTTTTTAGCCGTTGATGTGAAATGGTTCACAAAAGTTTAGAAAACCTGGTCGAAATCTGTTATTTTGTGCTAAATCCTTAGTTGTAAGGATTTTTTCCCGCTTGCAGCAGACATGTTGTAAACTCAACTGATTTCTTACAACTACTAAGGCTGAAACGATTAATCGTGATTAATTGAAATAAGTAATTTCGTAATCAATTAATTGCTAACTGTAGTCAACAGAAGCCAGTTGCTGAAAGAACAACACAATCAGAGCAATAATTAAGCCAAAACTGTACAAAATATATATATATTTTCCATTTAAGATAGAAAAAAACCATCTTTGTCTTTATTTGTTCTACTCAAAACTCATTTGGGAATTTTAGCTTCACCTGGTTCAAATTCTGTAAAAGAAAAAAAGAAATCTCCCTTTGCTATCCAAATGCTAATCGGTTAATCCTAAAAAACATCAGCCCTGCACTGTATTGATGTTAAAGTAATAAGGGCTCAGCTTTGTTGTTGATAGAAGTATTTTCTTTAGCTGCCGATTTGTACTTTGCTTCAAATGATCAAGCGTACCCAAAGGAATACGCTTTAGGTATTCCTTTGGGTACCCATAGTGCATAAAGTGTTTGCACTTTATGCAAATAAGGTGTTTGCATTTTAGGCAATAAAGTGTTCTTTTTTTTTTTTTTTTTACTTAAAATGGAATTAAATTGCTTGTTTGTTTTTATATTTTTAATGTATCTCTAATATTGTTTAAAATGAGCTTAAGTGGAAATGGAAAATCTGCAGGATGTGCTAATTTTACTTATGATTAATCGATTAATCGTCAGAATATTTGATTACTAAAAGAATCTTTAGTTGCAGCCCTAATAATTACCCGGTTGCACAACTCAGTTTACTCAGTTTGAACTCGTTTTATCTTTTGGCCTGAAATAAAAATAAAAATAAAAAAATAAAAACTGAGAAATATGCATAAAAAGCTTTTAAATCAATGCAGCTTTTATTGCATCAGCATACTCTTAAATTTTGAGAAAATCTTTAAAAAAAACGTTTTATCTAAATAACAAGTAGAGTTAAAGCTGTAAGCGGCATTGGGCTCAGTATCACTTCTGTTTATGAGCACACACAGTGACGAGGCTGATGGGGAATGTAGGGAAAAAACATATCTCCAAAGATCACTGAGAGTTTAATGTAGAGATCAGCCAGTCTCCATAGCAACCTTCAGATATTACGTCCATGTCAAGTGATTGTTTGGGAGTGAAGTAAGCTGTAAAGATGTGAAGTTTATTGAGGACTACCAGGGCTTTAACTAAGACAAAAAAATCTGACAGAGAAATATGAAAGTATTTGTAAGAATTGCCATTATCATGTCTCACTCCTCTGTGGCTCTGCTCATCTCTAAGCCTGGTAAGTGGACAGACCTGCGTCCGATCAAGCTAATAACCTTTCACTCTGTCATTCCTTCACTTTTTAAGGTTCTGTTTTTGGTGTTTTCCTTCCTGCTCATAAATCCTTCCTTTGTGTGTCATGAGATCTGAATCTTCTCTGAGCATGCTCTTGATGTCTCACTGTTCACCCTTTTATCTCTCGGCGCTCTGTTAATCTGAACTGACTTCCCAACTCTGCTCCTCGGGGAAAGCGGGGGGTTCGCCTGTGGGCCACAAAGCCTTCGGTGGGCCGCTTGACCTTGTTTTTTAAAAATTTTTATGCATGATGATTTTTATTGAACTGTTGGGAAAACATAGTTTCTATGCATCCTTAAAAAATCTTAAATTTATAAGAATAAATTTCAAATTGTCCTTAAATATATTGATCACAGGTCTTACAGCTTATTGTAGCAGGACTATTTAATCTCGCATATATAATTTATTTTTCTCGTCCGACTTATAAGTCGGGCAAAGGTTTGAGTTGCATGCAGATTAGGTTCTGTAACTGGAGGCAGTTGAGGCTAATGGTAACTAGCTGCTAGTCAACAGAAGCTAGTTACTTCTGTTGACCAGCAGAAGTAACTAGCTACCTAGGTAGCTTGCTAGCTAGGTAGCTAGCAAGGTAGCTTTTTGCGTCAACCATTGGTAAATGTCCAGTTGGCTGGACAATTGTCTTCGCCACTGGCTCACCGTGATGACGTACATTTTGTGCAAAAAAGCTTAGCACTACTGTATAAAACGTACAATTTTCTTTTGCACATTTCTGTTGCGATAGAAGTCTTGAATTTCATCCATAATACTCTTAAAAAGGTCTTAAAGAAACCCTGCATAAGCTAAAATTGCACTTAAAATATTTTTCTTAATCTCTAGCCAGAATGCCTGATAAATAGAAGACATTCTGTCACGGTGTGAAGAGGTTACCATGGCAGCCGTGGTTTTAAGCGAACCTACTGGTCGAGCCCCATCATTAACCAGTCTCAGCGCTCTTTCTTCCCTGTCAGAGCTGCATTCCCAACCAACTATTTCCATCTTTTCCTCAATAATGAACATGTTACTTGCATCTTCGTCTTTGGTCATTGTTCTCTCTCTCTCTCTTTCTGTCCATCTGCCTTCTGTCAGTCTGGTGTTCAGCCAAGACTCTGCAGGCTTTCACAACAATGATGCAGCACCTCACTGATTAGCAATCCCATAAATAGAAGGAGGTGAAGTAATTAGTGAAATCAGCTGCTGTTCTGTTTGATTGTAAAATAATTGCGGCTCTCGAAAAAGTGCCCGTCGGTTTTTTTATATAAGATGTCCAGGCAGACCATCGATTCGTACTGAAAAAACAATTTATAGAGTAAATATCTTAATACATAACATAATATCTGTGACCTAAAATAATGAGTCAGGCAGCTGGTAAAGCAAAAGAGCTGCTGCTCATGGGTCCCTTTTTGTCACATGCTGGTCATTTTTAATGTTGCAACCCAAAAAAAACCCAAAACGGGATAGTCGGGGAGACTCTTGCTCACTAATGCTAAACATAAAATTTAGGTTTTAAATAAAAAAGTCATTCTATTATTACTCGTTAGTTTCCTTAAAGGTAACGCATTTGTAAATTGTAGACAAAGGAATTTAGAATGACAACTTTGCTGCCTTTATAATGACCTGAACATTATTTGGCCCAACTGAAATTTTAAAAGATGCAGGAGAAATCCCAAAATCCAATATTTTTGTGGTCAGTGAATGCACCTTACCAAGACTGGGGTTCTGAACCATTGTCCTAGATGTTCAAGTACGATAAAACTATAATTACTCTTCTTGCGTTCCTGAGCAGGTCTGGGTCATCATGAGATTCTCACGGTATAACTTTGGCTAAAAAGTCATGGTTTCATAGTATTGTAGCATGATCGCACAGAAAAAAAAATCAAAGTAGCAGCTAACTAACAGCTTATTAAAAATAGTCTTGCCTTGTCTGCTGGTGCTCTCTTAATATTAACAAGGCTGTCTGTGGTTTTCACGACTTCCAAGTATTTCCAAGCAATTTTTCTTTGACGCAAGAGGAAAATGTAGGAGGCCCCCATCTCTTACAGTGTGCTGTAAGAGATGGGGGAGATGGCAGCTTTGTGTGACCCCCAGGTCCATACGGAAGGTGGAAACTGTCATTAAAAGCCCTTTAAATCCCAAACGGTATGATGGAAAAAATGTTTTTGAAACCGTAACTTTTAAAACCCCTGTATACATATTGGTACCGGTAACCCAACAATGCCAACTAGGGAGTAACCTTGCCCACAAACATGTTTATTCATAAATGTTTATGCAGGTTTTTATTACAGACCCTTATAGGATAATTTCACAATTTTAAAGAAAAATAAGAGTTGTTACAGGTAACAACACTGCCTTTATTAGCATATCAAATAGATGTCATAGCATCTATTAATGGTGTTCAAAGTATCTTTGTGTTCTTTCATCTATGAAGGTCTACCCTTGTTTTTCTTTGGGGAAAAATCGGTGCTGAACTTCTAAAACCTCAATGTTTAATGTGTGAAACGTGCAAAGCTTTGCAGTGCGAATGGCCGGGACAAGCTACAGTTGATGGATTAGATTGGAGATCTATTCTATATTTATCCCTTCTGTTTGGGTGCCAACACTGACTATGCTCCATGTGCCTCCCTGCAGGCGAGCTGCGGCACATCACCAAGCTGAAGCCGTGGTCTCTGTTCGACGTGCTGGTCGAGAAGTACGGCTGGTCGCACGAAGACGCCGGCCACTTCACGCAGTTCCTGCTGCCCATGCTGGAGATGGTGCCTGAGAAGAGGGCCTCGGCTGGGGAATGCCTAAACCACCCCTGGCTCAGCTCATAGCCGCAAACTTCGATCACACCCCGTCTCCGTTCCCCTTTCACCTTCCCCCCACCCCCTCACTGTGAGCCCAAACATCGACCTCTGTTGGCAGCGAGTGGAACCGTCGCGTAAAGAGACGCTGCGTCCCTCCTCTTCATTCCAAGCGCACCTAACCAGGCTTTACTCCTACATGGGGAATGTAAAACAAGCTACTGGCAATTTCTACAGCAAAAAGGAACCGTAGGATGAGAGGATGGGTTTCATCGATGAGAACAAATATGTCGCTGCCTCTTCCGGCATCAAGACGTCAGCCTCTTCTTCATCTGTTTTCTTCTTAGTTTAAACTATTGAACTCTGTTGACCTCCACGGCAAGAAGAGTCCACAAGAACCTTTGTTGCACTGCTGACAGACGGCCTCGAGCTCCATCTTCCATGAACAACTGGAGCCCGTAAGGGTGTATGAGTGTGGGTGTGCATTATTTTGCGAGAGAATGAACGTTTTTGCCTATGCCATCGTATATAACCACCTTAAAGGAGTACCAACATTATACTTTACGGTTTACAGCGTGCTTTCTTCCATGGATCCAGTCCTAGAAGAAAAAAAGAAAAAGCTCATCTCACCCAACACGGGTGAGGACATCACACTGATGCAGAGAAGGTTTATAATCAAAACAATCAGTATTAACCTGGAGAAGAGTCTGCTTGGGGTTAAAGGACTTTATTTTGAAATGTATGGAGAGACTGCTGAATGGGCAGGAAGGAATATGACAAGCCAATGATGGTTTCTGGTTTCAGTTCATCTTTAGGAAGTATCTGTGACCTCCTCCACCTTCCTACTAAGGATCGACACTTTTCACTCCGAGGTTTTGACATTCTCTTCTGACTTCATTCCTAGGAACAATTTTTCTTGAATCCTTCTGTGGCACGTTTACTAGATCCGATTGGTACTACCCCAACCGACCCATCCGTCTTTTTGTCCTCTGGAGGAACCCCGACTATCTCCCTGAGCCTCCCCAGAAAGGGGGCGGTCACGTGGAAGGTTGCACTCGTCTTTGTAAATGTCTTTCAGGGATTTGAAACCTTTGTACATAGAACTAGATTTCGCAACGCAAATAAGCGACTGTGGACATATTTGTGGACAAACACCCCAAGTATCATTCCAAAAAAAGAGAAAATAAAAGTAACAAAAAAAAAAAAACCGTTGTTGGCAGTACTTGACTTCCCCTTCGGAGAAACAGGAACGGGACATTCTGCCTCGACTGAAACTTGGAGGAATGCTCAAACTGTGTCGTGCTGCCACCTGGTGGCAGAGTGGGAGTACTGCAATGCTAGTCTCAGTGCCAACACTCTGAGAAGTTTCACCATCTCTGTCTACTTAATCACACACACACAAATCTTGAATCATCACAATTAATCCAGTTGCCTATTTTTCGCAATAAATGAAAAAAAAAAGATTATTGTAATTAAATGGTGAGATATTTTTAAAAACTATTTAATTCATTAAAAATATAGGGGGGAAAATAAAAAACAAACAACTTCTCTCTGGTTGTTGTGACCGTAACAGAAAATTGTCTTATACTGAGGTGATTGTGTTTGTCTATTAGAGATGTTTTTATTTGTTTTGTCATTATTATTAATTAATAATATTATTATTGAAGGGTTTTTTTTAAAGAAAAAAAAAAACACCTCTCCCCTCTTATTTTACTTGAACAGTACTGCGCTCTATGGGCCGTTGATGGTGGCGAAAAGAAAAACTGTTTTGCAATAAAGGGTATGTGATGAGATTTTTGTTTTTCCCCCCCAATTTTTGCACCGAATCCTCTCGATCTTCATCGCTCAGCCATGCTGACTGTTCTTCCTGATGACATCGACAGAATTAAGTTTTGTCTGTTTTTCATTGACAGATTTAATAAATTGCAGATTAATGGATTCTTTTGTCTTAAATGTAGTCATTTGTTTTGGTTTGGAGTTCACCGTCACGATTAGAGACCACACAGGCAAAGAATCTAAATTATAGATTGTATTACATTTTAATGGCATGAATGTTGAGAGCATGTCTTATAACAGGCAATTAAAATACAAAAAACTGAGTACAGTTGGCTATCAGTACAAATGATAGTTTTCTGATCAACTCTAAAACAAAATCCATAAAACATTAAAAGAAGATAAACACTGCAGGGATAAAAGTGCCTTCAAAAGTATTCATACCCTTTCAACCACAACAGATATACAGTAGTGCATAAATGTCAACAGAATTAAGAAAAAAAAAAAAAAAAGCTCTTTTATATCTGAAATTTGAAAATAATGCTCATTCATTCATTTTGACTGCTGCTTCACACAGAATCGGAAAACATTTTAGTCTCAAGATGTTCCCTCAAGAGGACTGAATACTAACCCACACCACACTTTCACATTTCGGGCGTTTTAAACCAAAATAAAAACATGGTGGTTGTGGTTTTAGGTCACGATTCTGAGCTTGGTTGTGTTGGTATAACAAAATTCCACATAGATACGAAAAGGTTTGTGGTTTTAACCTGAAAAGTGTTTTAAGGGGTAGGAATACTTTAGGAAGGCACCAATTAAAAAGAAAACCAGGCAACTGAGAAACAGCTTGGGTTTCTTTTAGGATTCTGTTATTTCATCTTACATAGTTACTGAAATGTCCTCTGACTGCATCCTGTGTCTGACTCACTGATTAGTAATCAAACTATTTCTGCAAAATGCATCGACTCTCATCAGTGAGTGTGCTTTTAAAGTTCATGCCCATGTATGAAAAGCTCCTACTTAATACAGACTGCAGGGGACGAAGCGTAAACAAAAGTAATAAAAGTCGTTGCAGCCACTAAACATAAAAGACACCGTGAGGTATTTACGTTCTGGTCTCTGCTGAAATGTAATGAAATGATCTCGTGACCTACCGGGGAACATTGCATTGCAGTTCTGAAGAGAACCTATTGAAACAGTACTAAGAGGACGTGCTGTAGACTCATAGTACCTGCAAATTCACATGACGACTGCGGAGCTGCCCATTTTCTGCGTCTGCTGATTGGGAATGCGTGCGCATCAGAGCAGCGACGCGCAGTTCTTCAGCAGCAGGGGTTTGGCCAAATCCAGGATGTCCAAGTTGGGATCGAGCGACCTTCCCAGCCCCTCCAGCACCATGATGGCAAACACGATGGATGCAAAGTTACTCTCCAGCTTCACCTGAAAAACACCATCAATGAGGAATATCAGGTAGCGACACACTGTTTTACTTAAAA